GCGCAACAACCCAGAAGACAGAAATCTTCATCGCCCTGATGACGGAGGCAGTATGACCTCTGAAACGTTGGTAAACATCGACCAGACTACACAGCGCAACAACCCAGAAGGCAGAAATCTTCTTCAGCATTATTTTGATGAAGTCAGTTGAACATTTTCTCAGATTTTATGACGTCGCACATGCTCCTTTGCATAGCTTTCACACATTCTTTGCATTTTTTTTATAATCTTTCCTTATATCGGTATTCCAGCCTGCTCTTCCATGTTGCTAATGTTCTGCAGGAAGTTATTTGTGAGTCGAGTTAAATCCCGAGCCCCTTTCTGCTTTAAAGTGGTACTGCCTGTTTTCGGAACAGTGGAAGTGTCAGACTGTCATGAAGACGGCATTTTCCCTTAATCCAGTAACTAGTGTGTCATCTGTTTCTGTCCCGACAAAACTATTTCATGTCTGCGTGGTTTGCATTCTGCGCTCGTTTGTTTCGTGTTGCAATATTTATTTTGCTCTTATTTTTAAAATGGCGAGTGATATCAGATTCTGTACTGTGTTCTGAATAGACCATCTCTGGTGTCTGAACCAAATGAATTCAGTCGATACTCTCTGACCTGATTTCTCTATAACCTTTCTTCTCAACCTGTTTGTTGTTTTTGAACCCCTTGGGGTGTCACAAAAGAAATAATAATGGCTGGTTCTTTTGTTTTGTGTTAAGATGATAAGTAATTTGGTCTCTTTTCTCACAGTGTATGTTTTAGAAAATTTTACTTTACTTCTTTGTTTGTTGACTTGTAAAACTACTACATTAATTCCTCATATTCACCTTGTATTTTGTAAGGTGATAATTGAGCGTGGAGTGACACACAAGTATTTGGTGATAGTGGGAGTATAAATTGTCAGGTAGATGGATTTTAACAGCATCCCTTTCTGAGTACGGGTAGGACTCGGTTTATGCCGGGATCTGGTTCATGACATATATACGGTGTAAAATGAAGCAGCGTAAATTGAAGTAAAAATATAATGGGAACATATACAAATACATTAGGTTCCGTTCCAAGATTTTCAGTAATAAATAAAAAATACTTGAAAAATGTTTTATTTTATGAAATATACGTATTGAAAATTATATGATTTTTAAGAAAAAGAAAGAAATTTTACTGCTTTAAAAAGATATAATAGATGTCTGTTTGGTTTTCTTCTTTTCTGATAATAAATTATAGTATGGCGGTAGAACTGTATCAATTTCTCAATTACTCAATTAATGCATTTTATATTCCGTTTTTTGTTTAATTATTTAAATTTTAGGCGGAGGCGCAAAAGTGAAGTGGGCGTAAACCGAGTCCTATCTGTACTGTTACCATGGAGACTGTTATTTCAGCCTGGTTGATGGGTGTTTCTGCTTGATTTGTTCATTCATTCTCAGATGTTGTGTCGTCTGCTTCAGAAAAGTGAATTTTTTCTTGAGTGACTTAACATTTTACCCCATTGGGTAAACAGTAAAAAATTGTGTCAAAAACAAGAAAACAGGGTATGAGCGTCAGTTATTGCTGTGCCAGGTGGAATGTAGCGAACCGAATTAAAGATGAGATTGGTCGTAGGAAAGTCGTGTTAGATCACGCATTACCATGAAAGGGGTTAATCGGATTTAAAAAAGTTTGGAAAAAACTGTTCTTTAAGATGCATCTTCATTTTTCTTGCAACTTTGCCCTAGTCTTCCCTTCAAGTTTTCAAACCAAAATTCTCTTTGCTTTTCTCATATCTTCACCACATTTTGATCCTTGTTTTGGTCACCCTAATAACATTTGATGAAGTTCTCTGTTTTGCAGCATCTTGTTCTCAGACGCTCTCATTTTTACGTTCTTTCCTTAATTGTTATGGAAGAAATGGGTGAAATAAGATTCTTAAATTTTTTTTACCACTGATGATTGACCTCTTGAGGTCGAAATTCGTTTGACATTAGTGTCCTTCAAAGTGTAAACAGTTTTGTTTGTATGAATTTTTTATATTGAAATGATTGTTGATTTGAGATATTATGAATTGGTTAATTCAATTCATGTTTTCAGGCCGGTAATTTTGGCAAGCCTAGCATCGGCCCGAAGGAAGCCGAGAAGAACGTTCGCAACTTCTCCGAAGAACAGATGCGTGCAGGCCAAGGCGTGATCAGTCTTCAGTATGGCAGCAACAAGGGGGCCAACCAGAGCGGCATAAACTTTGGCAATACCAGACACATGTAAATGCCGCTTCGTCCTAACCAGACAGACTATTGGCTGTTGCTCTCTGTGCACCAGCGACTGGCGTTTATTGCACGTGGACTCAAATCATTCGCTGAGTGAGGACTCTGTATTATTAAACACTGTGACCCTGGTGCTCGGTGAATGAGGTTCAGCCAATAGCCTGGCTTGCCATCTGAAATAAAGGGGGATTCTGGTGGAAGTAGGACGCGAGGAAGGAGTGGAATTGATATTTATAATTAAAAATGCACAAATTCTCTCTTGTGCCAATAAATAAACAAACATGTTAGTGATGTGAGCAAAATGAGGATGTTCTTGCAATATTCGACAAGATATTTAAAAACTAAATGAATAGTCTTAGTATTTTGTACAAAAGTCCTTTGCCAGATCTAAGGGATGGCCTTTTTTTTTCTCTCCCATAGATACCATGAGCCACCACAATGTCTTCTATGTCTTACATTTCTGAACATTCCTTGAAAATTGGGTGGGTCGATTTGTTGATATTTATCTTCACTTTCAATCAGTGACGAACTTCTGTTGCTATGTTGCATTGTATAGTCTATATTTGTAAGGTTTCTAGTTACCTATTAAATATGAGCACTATTTTTAATTAGAAGCCGTTAAAATGATGGTAAAGACCTTAAGAATGTTGGAACAGTTAAAAATTTCACATATTTTACTATGAATGTAAGTTGAAATATAAATCTCTTCATATAACTTTCTTTTGTGAAATGTATAATTTATGTAATTGGAAAATAAACATTAATTTTACTATTCTTCTTCTTCTTCAGTTCTTTACCCTGAGAACAGTGAAAGCTACATTTCTTTTTTTTCATACTGTCGGGTTGGAGCCGACCCCTGGTGACATGAACAAGTTCCCTCTGAAAAGGACCTGTTCATATGTTTCCTAGGCAAATGATCCAGAAGTGATTTGCCATTACCTTCTTCATGGAGTAATTGTTGGGATGCCATGGAAAAACCTGGGAAGCCCCGGAAGAAAACTCCGTGATACCTGGACCATGGAATTGCCCAACACAAGTTATAAATCTGGG